GAATTAAACAACATGTACCCACATCCATAAGTAATAAGAGTGTGAAAGAAAAGAATTTACCATGTCGCTCCTGTCAAACAAAAGTTCTACCACCAAAATGTGAATCGGCGATTGGCCAGCATTTACTAGTGAACCCGACTTGAGCTGACAAGTATCTTTCATAACAATATATATATATATATATGTATGTGTTTGTATGTATATAATTATTTTATGTTCATAAAGTTCAGTGGTTTATAATTTTGAATTTTTCTATCAGTAACGTTTTGCAGTTAAACTATTTACACAAATTTTACACTGTACAGCTTATTTTACTATATAATTTAAGGACAACATAGCAATCTGAGGGTCGCGGGTTCGAATCCCTGTCACACCAAACATGCTCGCCCTTTCAGCCGTGGGGGCGTTATAATGTGACAGTCAATCCCACTATTCGTTGGTAAAAGAGTAGCCCAAGAGTTGGCGGTAGGTGGTGATGACTAGCTGCCTTTCCTCTAGTCTTACACTGCTAAATTAGGGACGGCTAGCGCAGATAGCCCTCGTGTAGCTTTGCGCGAAATTCAAAAACAAACAAACAAGGACAACACAGTTTACAATTACCCTGGGCATCTGATCGAAAGATTATACAAACATATACTAGACTGCATGCTTTTACTCGTATGTGGTTTGCTATTAGAAAGTTACTGCAGAAATCATTGTATTTTTATATGTATGTTTCGGTATGCATGTAACTGTTTAATAACATTAATACTTTACGTTTATATCAATGAAAGTTATACGTTATTCTTGTAGCAACCATTATTAAAGGTTCAACTTCTTGGATGTTTATGTTTAATGATATAATAAATAATATGCTGATTGAATACGTTAAACCATACTTTCAAAAATCCCACACTCTAGATAATTTTTTATAAAACGTTTAATGATTTTTGAGGCCTTGTCAAATCTTGAACATCTGTTACTAATTTTGACTTAAGTTTGCTTAGTGGTAAGTGAATTTATAAAACAATTTCTTACTGAGTTTCAAGAAGTATTGAGGTTAAATAATTTCTAAATATTCTTATTACGAAATAGGCTTGTTTAAAATTAATATTACAGACGAAAGTCATACAAATCAGCGAAAACAAAACGACTAAGGCGAGGCTATATTTCTGTGTGAATGTTTTGAGACACTGGTTTGTACCTAAACTAAAGCATTACCTAATCAGAGTAAAGCTACTACTTCATATACAAAATATATGTTATTTTAATTCACTGTTAGAGTTTGGACAAAACGATCTGTTCATGTAGGAATTTTATTTCTGGAAATCCCTTAGACTTTAAAATTTTTTTAACCTCTACATCAAAACAGATTTATTCTGTCGACAAAAGTTAAAATGTCGCTGAAAAAACAAGCTTGATAAATATCAAATAAACATACATGTTTATGCACATATTAATAATTAAATTTTGTACAAAACTTTCATAGAACGTTTCAGAAAGTTTAAAATTTTCAATCAAGATTCCAAAAAATTGAAGGATAATAAAAGTGTTTTAAGCTCCGATATTTGTATGTTGCTATTCTATTAATTTCAGTAATTAAATCGTTCATTGGTGTATAATAAAAAGTGGGAAAACATCGATATTTTTTCCAATTCAATAAATTAACGATGAAAATTACATAGTGAAATAAACTAAAAAGTATATTTGCAATACATGCTTGAAATAATAGTTTTTGTTTATGATTATCAATAACATGAAACAGGTATGTGACAAACGAGGCTATAATAGTGATTTACGTCATAGTATTCCGAAGAAGAGAAAATAAGATCTATTTTTTTAGTCTCCATACTAAGAAGGTAAGCTAATAGCATTTGAAGTAGAGATTAATGCAAAGGATTATTATGCAAATTAATTTATTAGTTGTTTTCATTACGTTAAAAAAATATATATTCAGAATGGTCTATTTGGTGGCTGATACTGAACATTCTTGCTACTTAACTATAAAAATATTCTGGTAAAAATATCTTAAACTTAAGAGATTAGACAGATCAGCCATGTTACACATAAGTCACAAACAAGTAAATACGTTTATATATAAATAAACAAAAACAAGCCCAAAGATAAAAATAATAATAAAAGACGCTGCATAAATTAGAGGGATCCCCAGCGTTCAGGCTATAATGTGATATATAAAAAGATTTAGCAACTTAATCTTCCTAAAACAAGAACATTAGTTAATGTAATTAAAACATTTGATTTTTGAAATAATCATGCAAAACACTTACTTTTAGACATTACCAAATATCGATTAAAAGTTATCAAGCTTTGGAAAAGAGAACCCGCAACTTAAGACTTCATATTTGATAATTAATTTACATAAAGTATTCAATGACTTCCAGATTTCTAAAATTATTCATCAATGTATAAAAGATAATAGTTATTCTGTGTAAAAACTTAAAGCCTACCTTCATTTATAAATATAAAGTTCCAATCAGTCCTCTATTATACAATTATAAGAATTTTTTTAACTAATTTGAATGTAGATGAAGTTAATAATTTACCTTGTGAGTGTGAAAATAGATAATTTATTGATATTTTACATAAACATATTATGTAAAGTAAGTTGGAAATTATAAAAGATAAACTATTATGTGAAATACTAAAACAGGATCTAAATATAGAATTACCACAAAATGTAATAAGCAAACTATTTTAAAATCTATTGAAAACAGTATTTTGAAAGTTAACTATATTACATCTTATCCGCCCCAATGGTTTTTGGAATGGAAGTTTTATGGAATATTTAAATTATCCTATATAGAATTAAAGAAATACCCTATAGATTTATCATTTCATCAATTAAAAAATTACAAGATAAATATGTTATAGTTCCCATTGAACTTTGGCTTTATTTGTAAAAGACTTTATGCATCAATTATGATAAATGAAATCAATCGTTCACAAACATTTAAACTTATTAACCAGCCCAATGATACAGTAATTAATAATTTCATTGAAGTTTATAAAAAGTTTTATTCTAAACCAAATTATTTTTCTAGATTTACCTTTTCTGTATGCTATTTAAAATTGCATAAACCCGGACATTTTTGCTTTAACTTACAGATATATAAATGATTTAATTAGTATAAATAATTTTATTAACACTATTTATCCTATAGAATTAGAAATTGAAAATGCTTCAAATTATTTAGATCGAGAAATTAAAATAATTGATAATGATATTAATCTAAATATTTTTGATAAAAGAAAATATTTTTCTTCACAATTATTCAGATTTTGTAAAATATGTAATAAATTGCAATATTTCATTATTAATTTTGAAATATTGATGAAAAAGTAATTTTCAATGGATTTAATAAAGAAACTCTAAATAAAATTATTAAAATATTTTGTGCTAAATATAAAAATGTATTAAATAAATATAAAGAAGTAAAAATTAAGGAGTTTTTGCTGAAAGTTTCTAATAAATATTTTTAGTTTTTAATAAGGTCGTTTAAACAACTTGGCACTACTTTTATGCAGATGAACACCTTATTGCATATAAAGGCTTGTGTAAAGTCTGAAAATTGGTAGTTATAGTGGACTTAATGGGTGGTTGTTGGGAGTTATTCTAGTTAGTTTAGATAACTTGGTTGGGCTTTTATAACTCTATACTAGTATAATTTATCTTTATACTACTAATTAAGTTAAATTAGTGCTTTACTACTATAATGGGGGTTGGAATGTCAACCTGAGGAGGTAAGTTTACCTTACTTACCCCCAAGTGGTAGTACCTTATTTCGTTTTTATTTATTTATATATTTTCTTCTTTTACTTTGGAGAGCAGTCACAATCCAACAGTTGTCTGCAGACAGTGAAGGGTGATATAAATGTGGGAAAGTTGTGGGTTTGAGCACCCACATCTCGCTCTCCTAACTTGTATTTATTCCGATGATTTTTTTTTTTTCATGTGAGACTGGCGAACGGAGGTTAAGACTTATAGACGGTGTATCCCCAACGCAATGTGGGTCCTACTTCCGCAGTCACCTCCAAAACTAAAGGGCACATTTTATATCCCACATTATATCATGTACCCTGGGGGTCCTTTTAATTTATGCAGTGTATTTGATTTAATTTTGATTTTGTTGTTGCTTGGGCTTGTTTTTGTTCATTTAAATGTCATTTATCACAGGTTTGGATTTGCTGCTTTTAACGCAGTCTTTCCTAGTTTTAGTCCTTTGATTTTAATTTGCTTGACTGTTTGAGTATTAATTTTCTAACAGTTCTTCTTGATTTCATGCTCTGTGTGTTTAATTCAGTTTATCAGACAACTTTAAAGTGCTGCCTTGTATTCTTCTCGGAAAGGTTTTTTTAATGAAAATCATACTTTCATCACTTCCAGTATCAGTGGTGAGAAAGCGAACGAATTATTGATTTGTGAGTCATGTTGTTGATTCGTTTTAGTTTTCTGTTTGATTTGCAAAGTCAGTACATATATAATTTTACTATTTTATTAAAATCGATACTTATAAGTTTGAAATGTTCCAAAAGTATTCTTAAGATTCGATTTATTTTATTAAAATATCTTTAAACAAGCTCCTAAATACGTGTTATATGACGCAAGGAATGTATTTCCACTATGATAATGGAACATTTTTTGAAATTACGAAGCTTTTACTGGAGTATTGAGTTTATAATGAAACAAAAGCGTTAAAACAATTAATTTAAACCATATGTATTTTTACTTGCTTAACCTATCAACTACTAGCCATTTTTCGGGAGCATAGCCAGGCAAAGATTTACACACGAAGTACTTGCGTGTGGTTCCGAAGAAAACTACCACCCGAATTTATTTGTTTGTTGAATTTCGCGCAAAAACTAGCCGTCCCCAAGTTAGAAGTAATAGAGCAGAAGGAAGGAAGCAAGTCAACACCACTCAGCATCAACTGTAATTCTCAGTCCTCTGATGAATGTTTATAAATGTTAAGACTAAATAGAGAATTGTTACAAACACTTACGTCAACGTAGATACCGCTTACTGAATAGAGAGCAACAGGATTTTCCTTAATGTAATGGACAAATCGATAAAACTCTATGCCATTGAGGAAATGCTTGATATAATAGAGCTCCTCTCCCTCCATATCAAAAGTACAGTTCACCCATACAGTGTCTCCTCTGTTTACTTCAGGTGGTATGTGTATCTTAACATCCCTTAGCGCTAAGGTTTCTGGAAAGAGTTGTTCAAATAATTAGACCACAAGTGCCAGTTATATGAAGCAACAATCCAAAATTTAGCTGGTAAGCACCGTCAGAAGACGTTATATACAATAATACTGTTACATTAGGTCAGAAGGAAAGAAACTAGAATAAAGGTTAACAGAATTAATCTTTTATTCTGAGGTATATCAATAGTCTCAGGCGGAATATTTTCATACGATCTGCTTGCACTGTATAGGGAGATATCTTGGTATATTACATACTTTATGCTCACAGTTGAGTCGGTTCATCCTTATGATACTAACTTCGCCAAATACTCAAAACATGGCTCCAACTAATGTATAAACAGGAGCAAATAAATACCCTTTTTCTTTGCTTAAACCCTCGCTTCAAACACAGATGTGATTTACTACAACAACACTTTTCTATCAAACATTTGGTACACACAAACATATAATGGTCATTTTGATTTTGTGTTTTATAACTAACCATACACTGGCATTGTTTTATCTTTGGTATGCCTTAGTTCTTAGATCCCTTATATTTCGGACGTTATGTTAATATATACATTAATGATAGTCAAATATTAAAATATAATATAAATATTGTACTTAATATAAAAAAAACTTAACAGTTGATTTTACATTCGCAAAACTCTGATAAAAGCATACATGAAAAAATATTTTAGCTCACTGTCTACATGTGCATTGACTTCAGATATGCTATATATATACTTTCTATTCGTGTTCTAAGAGCTGAACTATTGTGTTTGATAAATTTGATTGGTGCTGGCATATTTTTTGTTTTCTTTTGGTGCGGTAATATTTATCAAAATCAAAAGCTCTTCTTTATTGTTGATGTGCTTAAATTCACATTTTGGTGGTAGAACTTTTGTTTTACAGGAGCGACATGGTAAATTCTTTTCTTTCACACTCGTATTTCTTATGGATGTGGGTACATGTTGTTTAATTCTATCCTGCAATCTTTGTGAAGTGCGACCTACGTACCGACACGTTTCCGCATATAAAAGCTATCTTCAAGTTTTGTACACGAAAAAACTTTTCATGTTAATATTCATTTTAATTATTGTACTTAATTTAGCTATTGGAATAGCCCTAAAGAAAAACAACATATTCGTTCTTCATGGAACATTTAACACTCTAAGCCGTTATTTAGAAAAATAGACCTAATATAAACCTCTTATACTGTTTGTTTGTTTGTAGTTAAGCACAAAGCTGCACAATGGGTTATCTAGGCGCTGCCCACCACGCGGATCGAAACCCGGTTTCAACCTATTAATCTGATTGGATCTTTCAAGTCATTGCTGAGATGATAGTCAAATTTTTGTTTTTATTACAAAGGTTTATTTTATATTCATGGTATTCTGATTCGTTGTGCTCTATTTTTCTTAGTCTCCTCTGTAAGGAATGCTATATATTTCCTACAGAGGCAGATAGCCTTAGTAGCTTTACCATGAATACGAAATACAAATACATTTTTAATTTTTATATCAATATAAAAACCTAAATGAATAAATGTTAATGGAATATTTGTTATCTAGTCAATCTTCTCAAGCAGCCAGTGGAAAAAAATAATTTATTCTTTTAATCCATTTTAATCAATTAAGTATAGCGGAAAGTATTTTAGCTTATAATTTTGTCAATGTTTTCCTGTTTAAACGGTGTGTCCGTTTTCTCCTTCTTTTGTGGAACATATTTTTAATTATATTGTAAGTTCTTTATTCTGGTTTCTTTTATAATTATTTAATGTCGCAAAGTAAATATGATAAAAATGTAGTAGAAAGATAAATTTTGTTCACTTTCTAAGTAAATCACCTACACGGGTACAATTTGTATATATTAAAATGTTTAGGGTGCATTTCTTCTTTTGTTTCGTTAGTTTTTCCTTTAGATAAAAAATAGAAGGACACTTAAAGTTTCTTTAGTGTTGCACTTTCTCAATAATAATTTGACTGTAAGTGATAGGTGACTGACAACGATATGTAAAATATTTATAATGTAATATCAATTATCAGTTCTATATGTTTGTAATTTAAAATAATAATTACCAGATCTATATATTTATAAGTTCTGGTAATATCTAGTAGCTAGGGTACTCGACTTTCTGCCGCGGGGACGTTATAATGTTTCGATCAATCCTACTAGTCATTAATAAAGAGTAGCCCAAGAGTTGGCAATGGGTGGTATTGATCGCTACCTTCCTTCTAATCTATCACTTCAAAATTAGAGACGAATAACTCTTATAACCCTCGAATAGCTTTGCGTGAAATTAATCAAAAATCATAGAAAACAATATGTTTATAAAGTAGTATTATAATTATCAGTTTTATTTGGTTATAATATAACATCCTAATTACCAATTCTATATGTATATAATGTAATATCATAATTCAGTTTTTGATACTTTTTCACCAACCTTTCACAGTGATCTTGTAACTTATCTGCAGTCAGATGTTAGTTCTATATTAAAAATAAGAGATCCAGTTCAAGATAGCCTTTATTCTTATATAATATATACCATCAGAGAAGAAAGCAGTTAATACCAATTAGAATCCTCCACAAAGGTCATGATTAACAAACTGTCATGTGTAGACGCATTTAGCAACTACTTGAAAATTGAGTGGAATGAATGAATTTAGGCTTATATGTCAACGACTGTTCTGATAATAATAGAATGGTAATATTGATGTATTGACAATATAAGTGATATTCAATATTTACTCAGAGCTGGAGTCCATTATTTCATATTTTAACTCGTTTACATTCTGGAAAATGATGTCTAGAGTGCTTCTTCTGCTTACATTACTCTGAATCAATATAGAAAGATCAAAGTATATGAAACTGTGCTTTAAACTACTTCTAATATTATCACACTATGAACTGGGAGCGATTGGCCAGCATTTACTAGTGAACCCGACTTGTGTTGACAACTACACGGACAGTAGGTTTAAAATTATTGCAAATGGTCTGGCAACCTTTCATCTCTATATTTAGGAAGCCACCTTTATTAAAACACATAAACCTGTCCTTTGCCGCCAAAAAGAATTCCTTTACAATCTACACATCCTTCAGTATGTCTGTGACAAGTCCTGATTGGCTTAAGGCTATGCCAAACAGTGATTGCCTTACCGGCTTACGTTGAGCTGACTCATTTTATAAGCTGTACTATTTTCTATACATCATTTTACATGCGGTTCCGCTATGATTAGTGTCTGGCGAAAAGCTTCAGCAAATATTTCCTTTGCAGCATCTCAACCAACAATTGGTCCAGTTATCAACGCATGTAAATGATATTCCATGAAAACTTTGTAATCTATATATATAAAGGACAAATATCTGCGTGTTTGTCTGTTTGTCCATTATCTAACTACTTCTAGGTCGCTGGGCCAATTTCAACTAAACTTTGTGGGATGATAGTTTGGAACAAGGGGCATGTTAGTGGAAGGTTCACAACCCTTTCCCCTTCCCATCACTGCTGCTATTGAGCATTTATTATCTTTGACATAAGTTAACATTAACTACATTCATAGATGGCGCCACGTCCCTACACCAAAAATAAATTTTCTATAAAACAACATACACACAGTGCAGGGGAGGGCACACAAACGTCTTGTCATATATAAAATCGCATCAGGATTACAGAACTTGCTTAACTTATTAATTTAACTATGTAGAGGAATCGCAAATTACGACTTCATGAGCATTATTAAAAACACGTATTTCAAATGGGTTTAAAACATTTTTGTGCAATAAAATATCAAAGGACTTTGCTAAACTAATTCAATTCAAATATATAAGGGTTGTTTGCTGTGTAGATAATACAGAGGGTTGAGTAAGTTATATTTAAATATTTTGAATAAACAAATCAGTAAGCCACGTGACAAGCACAGACGACATAAAGTCGCAGTGGAACAGTATGTATAAGAACTACATTTTGACAATGTTTGGCGTTTTATAAGTAGTGCGATGCCAGCAAAAATTTATCACTTTTGGGAAGGATATGCAATGGCCTCTTCCAGTGCAGATTATAAAAGATATTTTCAGAATATTAGGATTTAGCACAGAAAGATAAATATGAGTTAATTAGTTTAAGGTATCTCTATTGTTAGTACCCTTTAGAGTAGAATTAATGAAGCTTGTTAAACAGTATCTAAAGAAAATCAAATATGCTGCTCCAGTTTAGTATTGTTAATAGTACCAGCAAATGTTTCAGCGCTTTTGTTTCACGAGGAAGGCGTCTTGCGTGTACGTCATTCAACATGCAAGTCTACGGAATACTTGTATAATATTTTATAAAAAATCCCCCCTACTGGTCAGATTATTTATAGAAGTGTAACTGTTTTCAATATCTAACTCGTACTTGTAGAGCCGTACTTTAGAGCCCCTTAAAGTTTAATGGCGATCAGAATTAGGGAAGTAGACACTAACGCAGTAGCAGGGGGGGCATTTGAAATGGCTGTGAAACTCGTAAAATTTATAAAATGAATAACGTGTTTGGAAATCCCTCTGAGTGCCACTGGGGGGTTACAGTTTATAGAACATAACGTTTGTCTTTGTAATTCTCTCTAACAACTCGTTCTTAGAAGAACACTATTATTTTGGAATTGAATATAATTTGTATTTATGACAAAGCTACTAAGGCTATCTAACACCGTGTTTAGCTTGGAACAACTGACCAGACGGAAGGCAGCCATGTCTGCAGCACCATACTATCCACCATTATAATGTCTCTCTTCTATCACATCTACAATTTAAGGTACGATGGGGGGATATTGTATGGTATCGCACATATTCGAACCTGGTTCGCCAACTCCAAAACCTAAAGCTGTACCACATGGCCAAATTGTGCCCGAATTAAATAGAAAGAACATATATGTTTAATTTAACGGACGTTTGATATTGCCTTTTGTCCATAATTGTATCATCCTTAATCATTATGATACAACACCATAATAATTTGGAAATATCCTTGGAGCTAAACACAATAAATAGGATCAATGTGTCCTTTAGTACTTATTGCT